TCAAGAAGGAGTCTATGTTGTACGTATTTGTCACAATGGTATATGGAAGGCTGTGCTTCTCGATGAATGTTTTCCTTGTACAATAGACAACAGACTAGTTTATAGCCGAGCTGCACGTCGCCAATTGTATGTTCCATTGATTGAAAAAGCGTGTGCGAAACTTTTCGGTTCCTATGCAAGTTTGGAAGGAGGCTCGACGGCTGAAGGTCTTCAATTATTAACTGGAGCGCCGTGTGATCGCATCAATCTTCATCCATCAAATGAGATGTTAGATTTTGACATTATTTGGGCTAAACTTCTATCCGCTTGCGAATCAAAGTAAGTCAAAGTCATTATTTTTCTATTGAGTTTATTGATCAACCCTTCCTGAGACGAAGAATGAATAGACGCTATTGAATCAGTACAAAAAATTCATCACTGTGCTACTTCAATCACTTTCTTGTGAAGGAGTTTTACTGCTGACGTGACATATGTACAATGCACAATGTTGAATGAAAGATGCAGTTTCCTTGCACATAATCTTGATTCATTATTCACATAGCTATGAAAACCAAATCGCATAGAAGATTTTTGCTAAGCCTAACTGCTGCGTTGAAATAGTGTTTCTCATATCTAGACTCTTAATTGGTGCATCAACTGGTTGTTCAGAAACCAATCGATCCGAGTACAAACTCGTTGGACTGAATCCTAATCACGCATTCACTGTCTTGGTAGCTAAAGCATTGCCCGTCGGTGATGGCCGTTTTCTACTCGTGCGTGATCCACATGGAACTACGGATTATTCGGAAGCTTTGATCACACCATCTATTCGTACATACTTACATTCGATACATAATAAAATGTCGAATTCTTCCGGAACTTTCTGGATAACATGGTTAAGTTTCTTGCATTATTTCGATTCAATAACTATCTCAACATATGTCAGTAATCATTTTGATATTCGTGAAGAAGCACAATTTACTAGATCGCCCATAGAATCAGTTCCTGCCTATTATTTTACTGTGTCAAAGTAAGTGAATAAGTTCTGCTTCATTTAAACTTATCAAATTTGATCATCCCATAGGACATCATTGATCACTGTGAGTCTAGTGTATCATCGTCATAGCCGAAAAAATAATAATCAACATACGCAATCTTTCGTCCTCTGTGATGTAGACGAAAAAACAAGCAATGTTGGAACAAAACAAGTGATTTTTGAAAGTCGTCGTGGAACATTAACCTATTGGAGTGGATCTTTGCGACCGGGTGCTTATGTTATTATTCCATTCTCAGTCAGCTTCTGGAAAACAAGTAACGATAGAAAAGATGAAAGGACAACAAATTATACTTTAGTCATTCATTCGAATATTCGACTCGATGGTGTGTTACTCAATGAACCACCAACATTGCTGACAGATTGTCTCATTGCTGCAACGATCAAATATTGTGACCAGCCGAAAAAAGTTTGCTCTGTAATCTTTCTAATTCAGTGAAACATATGTTTTCTTTGTTTCTTAGACTCACTCTTCAGTTTTATATACTACACCACGTCGTTTCGATGCTAGCTTGATCGTTGTCGAAAATCAACTAATCAATCATTATCTCACTTTCAATATGACAATAACTGAAGGTGGCAGTATTTGTCATTCTCGTCACACTTTTCGCACTTCTGATTGTGTTCCACCACGTCATCGACAACTGATCTGCACACTTGAATGGGTTCATCAGCGAGATGAAGTGGCATATATGTCATATGTGACTTCTCAACAAGTCACCGAAGGATGGCACCATGCAATACCAGCTATTGCTATTGATCAAGGTGATTTACATTCACCACGACCTTTTTGAGTTCTCCTTCAAAGAATGAATCATCTAAATATCATCTCATAAGTTTTTTTGTTACGAATAAATAACATACTTTTTTGTGAAGACTAAAACATAGTTAAATTAAACCGTAGAAGTTCGACTGAGTATTCGTTTTTTTATATTGAAAGACTGTTTGATGATATGACTTTTAGTTCTTGTCGAATGTTGCGAGTTTTGAAATCAAAAACAAAAACAAAATGATCAAACATTTCTTACTGTCTTAAGTCAATCATAGCTTCGAAGGAATTGAATTCTTATTGTGAAAAAATTATCTATATTCGAATTATATTTTAATTTTTTTTTTAATCAAAACGAACTGAAAAGTATGGTTTGTCTTGAACAAAATTTCGTATTGATTTTCTTTGTAACAAATAAAATAATATTAATGTGAAAAAAAGATTTGGCTTTGGAGTGAAAGACTAGTCGATCATTTATAGACAAATTATCTCGTTTTAGCATCACTATGATCTTGAAAGTCTTCATAAACAATCAAATATTGAATACTTCAATTGACGTTTCTTTAAAACAAAAAAAATCATTTGCTAATTCAATGTGTTCTGCACGAAAAATTATTTTGAGTATTTTTGTTGTCATACAGATTAGTCATTCGTTGTATATGGTATCCAAACCTAATTAAAAAGAACAAGAATCACTAGTGTAATTAGAAATCTTTTGTATTTTTCTGTTTTGTGTTTGCGGTGAAAATTCGTCATATTTCGATGAACATTGGTTCTGCTATAATATGTATTAAATTGTTTATCTTTACAGGTGCTTTTAGCTGTCAATAAGTTTTATGCAAAATCTGACGATATAAAGAAAAAGTTCTTGATGTAGAAGCTCTCTGGAAAGGTTTTTAACAATCTATGTGAGATGCATGAGATTGATTGGGTTTTTTAATCATTCACTAGTGAAATATTTTCTTCACTTATTGTTTTTTTAAAAACAAATTAAAGCGTTCAATTTTTCTTGTAGCGATGAAACATTGGTTTCCAATTGATGTAGACATATTTTATAGTAATGCTAATTATGCTCAACAGTTTTGACAATTGCATGAAGAAAACAGTTATGATACTAAAGGTCTTCATTTTCAGACTGTCAGTAGCACAAAACAATCTAAAAACAATTGAACAAATATTTGTATCAGTAAGCAATTTTTAGGTGGATTCTCAATGACGTCACATACGACATCAAAGGGCTTGTAATAGAAAAATTCGAGTTTTAAGTAATATTAATGTCATTGTGAGCGTTATTTTTATTTTTATCTTTACGCTTAACATATTTTTATTTCATACTCAAAGGAATGCCAATAGGTTTATTGATAATACCACTCACAAATCCTGCAACATTAATATATCGGTTTCGATAAAGATCAATTTTGCTCTAAAGAAACAGACTAATCAAATTCATTGGTTTTTTTACCATCATCCGTTGCTTTTCAATACAAATATCTGTGTCAATAAAGCTTGGTAAAAAAAAACTTACAAATAGCTATAGTATGGTCAGAATAAATCGTATATTCTTGTGTTTTATTTCTGCCTTGTAATAGTAGATAATAATGAACTGAAATTAATCAGCAAACCCATTCACAATTTATTCAAAAACATACTAGATGACATTTTAAGTATTATATATCAATTTAATATTTTATCAGATTCATTAGTTATTCTTAACACATTACATATTGGTTAGTCCACAACTTTCACATGAAACATGAGGTGTTGAATCATCGCTTATATATATATACACAAGATTGTTTTGATTCTCTGTTATCAGATTATCAAATATACGTCACCTGACTGAATAAATAGAGATATATCTTTTTATCACAATATATTTATTCACACGCATCATTCTTTCAGCTTCAAAAAAGGTAAATAAAACAAAAGTTGTAAGATTCTTCATTACATTTCAGAGCTACTTTTAAAATTTACGAGTTAACAATGCGTCTACTTATCATTATTACACTAATCTTCTTCATATTGCTTCAAAATGTGAATAGTTCCAGTCGTTGTACCTGCACTTGTTGTCGTGGAGATCATTGTTCACCTGTAAAACAACGCTCTTTCATTGTCGAATTGTGTGAAACCGATGGCACATGTAATGCTGATTGCTGCCGACATTACCCACAAGTTTGTTTTCCATTACCTGGGCCGGGTTATATCAACTCAGTTTGTCGAAATTTGACTATTCATAATTGATAAATGAAAGTTATCTTCCACTTTAATAATGAAACTAAGGCGATTTTTGTTTTTCTTGATTTAAAAAATATTTTGATAAGCTGTCTAACAAAATTTGATTCATTGGCTGAGTATTAATAAAAATAAATCTACAAATTATACATTTAATCGATAATCAACAACTTGAGAGTGTTTGTGGGTGTGAATCGTCTCCTGATCCAACCACACTTCATACTATTATTCAAACTCATATCGGCACCCAAAACCTCATTTATTTATTAACTTATTATATTTATAGCGAGGAAGCCTGTAATAAGCTGCAACTTACAGTATATTGAGTGTTTCAAAATATTTCCATACTTTTTTATTTTGCAAACAGCTTTAGCAGTGAGCAACTGGGTAAGTCCTAGAAACTGTAATGTTTTTGATAGTGTAAGGCCTCATTGAAATACTATTGAGATAGAATAATTCCTTCAAAGAAGCTGTCATAATTTCAATATCATCCATAAATTTATTTCATTTTATTTGATGTAGATACTATTCAAACATTAAAATCTAATTGTACAAAATTAGTCATACATGAGGATCATCAAAGAAAAAGAAAATATTATTGACGATAATACATTTTATCAATCTTTGTATAGTATTCTGCTTATTTAGAAGAGCAATAGTCTTTCATATTAGAGCATTTCAGTATGAAACTTTAAAAAACTCCAAAAACCTATGATTGAATTATTTTGATAATGTATTCACTATTTTCAAATTATTCGTATAATTTTCATCACTTGATTTTATCATTCTTTATTGAAGAAGACAATTGACCCTTAAGCAATGATGTAACAAACATATTACGGTAAATTAACAAGCTGAAACTATAACTGTTTTAATCGGATCAAATGTATGAAATATTTAATGCAAAATATTAGGCAAAGGTTCGAGAAATGTTAGCATTTTTAAATGAAAATAAATTGAATAATCATGCAATATGAACGTACATGTTATAGGTATAATGATATGTAAGATATAATTTCTCAAAATGTCAGACATTTTATTTTGTCTATTTTCGCACAGTTTTTCTTGATTTCGTTTTAATTTTAGTGGTTTTCGAACTGTTTTTTTAATCAGATTATATCTATTATCTTGTACATTATATGTCTTGAACATGAAATAAGATGCCTTCACAAAGTACCTCTAAACTGAAAATTGATCTTCCAGTGTTTCAACAACCCTTCAATAGCTCAATTCAATGTGAAACTCTAAAAATGCCTACACAAATTCGTTTTCAATTTTCTCATAAGAAAATTTCCTTGAATCGCTATTTTACAGTGTAGGAGTTATTATGGAACAAACCGTTTTCAAAGCACACTTAAGAGTCGATTCTTCTAATTAATCAGATCAAAGTACTATATTTTTAGAGCATGCGTTAAATGTTGAAGAAAATCCAGTAAATTCAAAAAAATCTTCATATAAGTCTTCACATAACAATCATTTGATACGAAACAAGTGTGTTATTGTTTTCGATAGAGACTTTTTCTTTTTGACGCACATTATTTCTTTCTTCGTTGATCATACTTTGAAATGTTTAGATAATGAGATAAATGATCATATGAACTGTCAAAAATAATGCACGTTGTATCAATCAAACCCACAATACTAATATCTTGTTAGATAAAAAATAAGAAAGAAAAAAAAACATGTGATGATGATGCAGAACTTTTTTTTTTCTATGTGCATGGATATTTTATTGGCCGCAACCGGATCCGGGTTCAAAAATCTTGAACCCGAAGGCTCTATACTCAACAATTTCCCACCATCCTTTTTAATGAAGCATCCCCATATTTATCCTCAGAAAAACCTTATATATGTGAGTTCGAACACGAATATAGGACGGCAGTTCACATTTTCTATTGAAATATACATTGGACTTGAAATACTGATGTAGAAAAATGAAGAAGGCTTAGATATCAGCATTCAAGACTTTCTTCTGTTTAGGTTTTGACACTGTTTCTGGCGGCGCGATCAGTATGCTAATTTAAGTGTATTATCATATTATTGGTACTGTACTGTATTATCAGTCAGTCCATCATCAGGAAACACTCCAATAAGAACAAGAGTATCATGTAATCCGCAAGGTGATTTTATATTTCAAACGGTTCACAATGATATACAAAAAACAGGTGGTTCATCATTTTTAACAGAATTCGAGTTTGATCCAACAAGTGACAGTGGCGCACAACAAAATTATTTTGTTATGAATAAATGTGATCAATATTTTCAATCATGGACTGTATGGGGTGCCAGTTTTATTGATTCATCTGGTAATATATTATATAATATTTTATCACAATTTAATCGACCTTATGCTTACGCTATTGCTGGTACACCACATTTAATGTTCTATGATCGTAATCATACGCGTTGTTTTACATTAAAATATATAATTGACCTAACAATAAACTGTCCATCCCAAATTTATTTACCTGAAATAATTTATCCTAGACCAAATGGTTATAATATTACCTTAACATGTGGATTAGAGTCAAGCGTTAATTTAGATGATTCGAATTTAATTGATATTTATACAACAAATTTAACTCCTAATGGATATATGCGAATCGTTAATATAAGACCATGTTAAACTCGCTCGCTATCATTTACATTGTTTATGTACTTTTTTTCGTAGTGAATAACACCACAAATGTTGTTCACTAAAACTTGAAAACTATTAGATAACTTATGTTCCCGTATATCTAAAACTCTCTATGATAGTTGAAATCTACTGTTGAATCCTCCAGACTGTAGCAGACATCTTGAATTCTTTTTATCATTCTTTAATAAACATACTGAAATACAGTTGGCATTATATCGTTCAGAATAAAAGTCAATTCATTGTGATTACAACTTGTCAAACTTATTTTGTGCAAAATAAGTCTACCGACTGAATCAATCAACAGTTCATGATTATAGTATCTTGACTAGATTTCATACATATGAAAATTTGTTCTTTTCTCTTTTCCGAACGAAAGAGTTTGAAATCTTTAATTGGTGTTTCACTTTGGAATTCGATTGGTCGCCTGGTGAGTATGGAGTGTTAGTCATAGTGGACAGTCATGCGACAAAATCGATTTTTGAGATTTGAGCCTATAGTATAGCTAGCACTGAAGTCACTCTCTGGTGCTGCATTTAAATGCATTCTGAATGCTGGTTTAGAGTGAGTGCCTGTTAATCAGCAAGTATCACATAGTACGTAAAATAGATGAATATAATTAATAGGACCATATAAGTAAAATGTATGTTTTAAATGGAGGATCTAGTTATATTCATTAGTTATTATATAGTTAAATAATGTTATATATCTACTGTACATCATAGGTCATTTGAACTTCTTGAAGTTCTTTAGGCTATAATAAGATCAAAGACTTACACTCACGAGGGAACATTCCCAGGTGTTGGAGCGCTTTTCAGTCGGCACTTAGTACATTTGGTAGATCTTAGTGAGCTATGTTTACCATAAAAAAGGTTTGTGTCCATGGCCTGTTTCTAAGGAGATCGAACGTTTTTAGATTTATAGCTAGATATTTTCAGTATATCTCAACCGCGTTGTACACAAATGATCTCTGATTTTGATGAAGTTTTCAGCATTTGTAGAACTTGTAATTTTGAGTGTTTTGATAAAAAAAAATTTTCAAAACACTTTTGTTTTGATGGAGATACATTCAAAGTACTGTAAGTAATAAAAACCCAAAAACGCTCAAAAAAAATTTTCCTCAGAGTTTTTGGGTTTTGTACTGCCTGCAGTATTTTGAGTGTATCTTCATTAAAATAAAAGCATTTTGAAACAATTTTTTTATCGAAATGCTCAGAGTTAAAAGCTCTATAAACACTGAAAACTTCATCGAAAACGAAGATCATTTGTGTACAACGCGGTTGAGATATACTGAAAATATCCAGCTATAAATCTAAAAACGTTCGATCTCCTTAGAAACAGGCCATGGACACAAACCTGTTTTATGGTAAACATAGCTCACTAAGATCTACAAAATGTACTAAGTGCCGACTGAAAAGCGCTTCAACGCCTGGGAATATTCCCTCGTTAGGTAATTTAATCATAGTGGATTAGTCAGTCTATTAGTTAGTTTTTGAAATCATAATGAACTGAAAAATCTTAGTGGGACTATGTTTGAGTGTGGGTGTGGGTTTGGGTGGTGTGGATGTGGGTGTAGGTGTGAGTATGTGTGTGGGGGTGCGGGTGCGGGTGGGTGTGTGAGTGTGAGTGTGAGAGAATGTGGGAGTGGGTGGAGGTGGTGTGTGGATGTGCGTGATGAGTATTTTTCTTATCTACACGCACACTCACACCCCGATTGAAATCGATTAATTTCATGCGCTCTGTTGTAATTGCTTGAGCACGAATTGAAATGGTGTTTCTATTGTTTAGAAGTCTGGGAAGAAAATTTTGGAAAATCCTGTACTGATACTTTAAAGTCGATTCAATAAATGAAACCGATGCAATTCGTCAGATCAACACCGATTTTGAACGGTACACCACGGCTAATCTTTGAGACGAATGATGCGAGGTCAACTCCATTAATGATGATGATTGTTTCCGATTCAAAAGAATTTGGTATTATTCTGCAAAGGAACTTATAGGGTACAATGAAAAACCAGCAGAAAAAGACGATGATACTAATTATGCAAATAAAATTGGCAATAAAGAAATGCGTATCTCATTGTTAGAACGGTAGACTTGCACAATAATAATAATAATAATAGCGATAATATGTTGTCTGATCTGAAAGCTGAAATGTTGAGGAATTTCACATTGACAATAAATCAGAAAAGAGACATCGTTCGCTATACACTGATCGCATGAAAATAGTGTGGGTTTGGGCGTGTCGTTTGTCTTCACTCACGTCCATACCTTACGGCTACACTCACATTTACACACCCACACCCTAAGAGAAAAGTTGATAAAAGTGTTCAGAAGCATTACAGTTGTCAGAAATAAAGAAACGTGGCTTTTCATGAATTATGAAAAAGCAATATTCATATCACCGCGAATAGGTTAATTATATTACGAGTTCGAATTTTACGTGCAAAACAGTATATTTCATTTTTCGCTTAAAACTTTGCCAAGAACTTCATCCAAAGTGCGTGTACCCTTTTCTCGGGTGACATTTCCATTTGTTGTCCAACAGATTGTATCATTATCGAAGCCTTGAACCATTTCTATCCAATTATCCACGGTTTCCTTTGGCCATCCAACTTTTCCAAAGAGTCCACGTATCATTTCTTCTGTCATCGCAGCAGCATGAATATTTTTTCCTAAGGCCTTACTCACAATCTGAGCTACATCATTTGGACTATAAGGTTCCGGTCCTTCAAGTTCAACAATGACCATTCTATCGACTGCTTGAGCTGGCTTTGTCATGTATTCGGCAGCGACACGTCCAATATCATCCGTAGCAACTTGAGGAATTTTTCGTTCGAGTTTTTGAAGCATGGAGCCAAGCACAGGCGATTGTCCTAATTTCACTGCAGAAACTGACTTGAACCAATTCTCCATAAACCATGCACAACGAATTATTACAATCTGAGGAGCTGTACCCTTCAAAGTTTCTTCCAATATATGCGTAGTGAGAATGTTTCCGGTGCCCGAACTTTTCTCCGCACCAACTGAACTCAAAATGACGACGCGTGGCACTTGTGCCGCTTGGATTGCTGCAGCTAGCGCATTGCTGACTTTCATAGCAGCTGTATTCATGTCCGAGGTCTCGTAAACGGGAGGATTCATTGCAAAAACAGCTTTGGCTCCTTGAAACGCTTTGGTCAACGCGTCGGCGTTAGTCAAATCAGCAATCGCTACTTCAATATTTCGTGAAGTAAAATATTCCGATCTGCTTTCGGAACGAATCACAGCACGAACTGAGACTGATTGCGAAAGCAGGTAATTAACGACAGCAGAACCAACTTGACCGGTTGCAGCGGTGACAACATAGGACATGAATGATACTATGAAATAACAGAATCATTTGCGTTTTTTCTACTAAGCTGTATCTCATGCACTTACTTTTTTGTATGCTGCCTGCTTACACGTTATATTTTTTCTCTCTGTCTGTGTAAAATGACTATATGCATCACACACGTCGTTATTTGCATTTGGTGCGTTCTCTCACTTGCCATCACATATATGGTTACTATGTGCATAACATTTATTTACCGCACCTAGATTGTTTCTTTTTTTGTTCTGTTTTTCTAATTCGATAGGCATCAATAATATTTGTAAATCAATCGAAAACAGATCGATCTATCTTCTGAAGGAAAAACAAATTCAATTTGCTAGTTTTAACTTCTGCTTTTCAGTAGTCGACTCTTGTTCGTACCAGTTGTAATTATATTTAGTGTACATTATAAAATAATCAAGAAAGTTGCATACAGAATAAATTCGCCGACGCTTTCATATTATTGATTGAAATAGAAACACTTATTAGAATTCTGTATTAGATTCTTTGAGCGCAGCCAAGAAAAACAAATCAGGAGAAAAAAATTTCATGAAACAAGAATAAAAAAGACAAAAATGAAGCATGAAACTATAAAACAAAGAAGAATTTTGACCTTGAAATGAAAAAAAAAAATCTTTTTTATTGAAGGAACTTCAATTGTTTGGATTTTTCATTAATTGGACTAGTGAATAGTGAATGCCATATGTGGGTGTATGTGAGAATAGGTAAAGGTGAGAAGAAGATACCCATACCTCAGATTCTTGATCTATAAATCTAAAATCAAAGTGGAGTTATATTAGCAGCATTAGTTTATCATAAAGAGGTAGCTGAGCCCTATTTCATACCGTTTAAATCTGATCATCCTTCACACGTTTTTACGAATATTATTGGTGTTGCTTTTCTAAGATCCGTACTTTATTCCTCCATATTATCAAGTACCATCACGTAAAACTTATACTATTTTACAACGAGTTAGTATTCTTGTCTTTCACTCTTATTGCTACTCCTTATTATTTAAAAAAGTTATCCATCAAAGTGCATACTTCGCCTATTTCTGAAATTCTTTTGAAAAAATATATCAATATAATCAATCTAACGATTGATTAATAATGAAAATGACTTTCTTGTTCTACGCCACTGTTTATGGAACAAGTCCACGATTTTTGAATAAAAGACATCTTCAGCAATAGCAAAAATTGTTAACTTAAACACCAGTAAGCAAATGGCTAATGAATCTAACTTAAATCAAGTTGAAAATAAACCAGAATCAATTAACAATCTAAATATTCATAATAAAAACGAAACACGATTCCCATCTGTGAGATGGGACATGGATCAAATGTCGAACCACACCTTCCATACAGCACTAATCTTGTATACAAAATTGATTGTCAGGTGAAGATGTGAATGAGGGTGTGGGTGTAAATGGTAGTGTTTCCTGTTATTATACCCAGGCCCAAACCCATCCACACTCACAACCACACTTGTACGTGCCAACACCTACATCTACGCACACACCCTCTTTAAATATTCGTTTTTGATTTATGTAACTGATCTCTTCATCAAGGTCTTGATCATGGCCTCATGCATGTCTAGCTACGGTAATTTAAGAAATATTTTGAAAATAAATACAAGTTTC